GCCCAACCTTCCTTCTGAGGAGTGGCTGGTGGGTTTGAACTGCCAGCCTTCTGGTTAGCAGTCAAATGCCTTAGGCACTATGCCACCAGAGCTAGATCATTATTACCTGGTGGGGAGAAAGACAAATGGAGAGAGAGATGAGAAAATAAAAAAATTAACTCTCAAAAATGCTTCGGGTTAAAAAGGACAGACTGAACACAGGTAGTTAAGACGCTATTAGAATCACAGCGAAGGGATGAAAACAGTAAGAATAGGAATGAATATATTAGTAAATATAAAAATATACCTACTCTTCACTTACTGACATGGTTAGGTTCCAAAGACCAGGTCTTTATGCAAAAATTGGCATATGTGAAAATGGAGGATGACTACAACCAATCACAAAATGGTGGATAATGACATCATTACATAATGGCCAAATCACTGAGAATCATGGCCCAACCAAGTTGACACATAATCTTAATTTTTACAGCCAGCATTACTCTTGCCTAGCACTTGGCATTATTTACTGCCAGACATAGGTTGTTAATGTGCAAATTAACTGGATAGATTTTTTACTATTGTCGTAAATGTGAAATACATTCAGATAATGAAATACTTCGTAAGTGAGGAATAAGTGTATTTCAAAACACTTTAAATGGAAAAGTAAATTAAACCAGGAAGAGAAAGCTGAGGGAAAAAGCACTACTAGCAACCAAGAGAAAAGAAAGATACTGTATTCATATTGTGAAAACAAGACAATAAATAAAGAATTGCAAAAAAGGTTTTTTAGCCAATTTTAACAAATGCAAAAGAAAGATCAGGAAGTGTTTTTACAAAGAACAAAAGCATAAGGAAACCAAAAGTAGGAGGGGGAATTAAAATTCTGATTTAATATAGAAATTCTTTCTTGGTGTACATTAGAATTATCAAGGGGGGATGGGGGTAGGGGTGGGGGTAGGTACTTGACCTGATGTAATGCTGATGCTACTAGTCTTGGTGGACACACTTGCAGAACCACAATATCAGAACTCTAATACTTGTCTGAAGTTCCAAACAGAGAGCACAAAGAAGGGAGGCACTTGCCAAAGAATTAATACAAAAAACATTCCTCAGTAACCATGTTCCAGATGAAAAAAGCTCATCAAGTGAAGAAAGCAATGAGTGAAAAAGAACCTAACTCAAATGAATGTGTGAAATGTCCAAATATCCAGGATAAAGACTATACAAACTTCCAGGAAGGGGGATAAAGGATACAACAAAAGAACAAGAATCTGAATAAGCTACAGACAATGGAATTTGATCAATTTATCTTTTAAAAAGATCAGCTTTGCGGTAGGGATTACTGGATGGGAGGAGATAGTCAGAAGGCTCTTGTAATAGTGCAGACTGTGAAGAAGGTAAATTAAAATGGTGGTGGAAGAGCCTGAGAGTAGATTTGAGGAAATTTTTGTAAGAAAAAAAAAAAACAAGAAACTACTTGACGATGGTTTAGATTTGGGCATACTGAAGCTAACTTAAACAACTAGAAATGACATGAGCAGCTTGTAGGATTATCAGTCTTAGGGACTAAAGAAGCGTGGCAAAGTAAGAGCTTTATAATTCTACCTGAGACATCCAATGTGAGATGCTGAACAGGCATTCGGGTATTTAAGTCTGTAGCTCAGAAAGTACGGACCACAGTGTAAATTTAAATGCTTAGTCTGAGATGGCTTTACTTATATTCCACAGACCATCTACCATCATTTCATGAAAAGGTGTCCAAAAGGTAGCTTCCAAAACTGAAGAAATTTTTGGTACTATGCACTAAAGGTATTTTCATTTGTATCTTTTGCTTGATTAAGTCCTTGAGGCAGCTCTAGTGGCCCCTCCACAATCCCAGTGTGTGCAAACTATATAGCTCCCTGCTCTCCACCAACTCTCATCAAGACTCAGCGATGTAGGTAATTAAGATCTGCTTTTCATGTAGGGATGCAAAGCACCATGCTCCATGACTAGATACTGAATCACTTGTGAGGAATCAAATGATAAGACATGATATAGAAATGTATAGTTTAAAGAATATGGTTTTATTCCTGCAGCCTGACATTGTTTCTATGTATTTGGTATCAATTCAAGATTTCTGGGTTCCACCCTGTCTCTTTTATTCTCAAATGAAGTATATGTACTCACCTGAATCCGAGACCGGGCTAGATACACATTGGATTTCCATTCAGTCTTCATTTTCCGATACTGAGATGACTTGGAATGGACAAACTGCTTACTGTAAGGCGCATTCAGCTCTCCAGTGACTGTGCTCTGAAATGACTTTGAAGTGCTGGTGCTGTTCAAAGTGTGAGGCCTGCAGACAATGGCAAATCAAGAGAAAATAATAAAAGAAAAACTGAAGATATCTCTGAATAATGCCCAAAGCCAGGTTGATTTAATTATTATTGACAGAAACATACATTAAAGCTACCTAGCAGAGACAACATAGCAATTTCTCTGACTTAGTTGTGCATATACACAGCCAGAGACAACAGGGTTTGTAAGCAGCAGACAAATCAAGCACAAAAAACCACTATATGCCTAGAAACCCTGGGCTGTACTATGTGAAGTTAAAACAAAATACCTTAACACAAACCTCTTGACATGGGTACTCATTTTAGGTTCAGAACGGGCACAACCCGTGGGGTTAATGGCAAGAGGAAGTTCCATGAGAGGATTTCGGCCATATCTGAAGGTATAGTTTTCACATGCCTCAACCCCAGGTAGCTGAAAAGAAGCAACATGGACAAAAAGTCAACTCATGTCAACAACAACTTATGTCAAAAGTTTAACAAAACTCAGTAAACCCTGGCAAATGTTTCTTGAGGAAAAAAGATTAACTCATAGAATAAGCATATGGCAACGAATGCACACATGTGTGATTTTTAGATCTGATCACTTTGCCATTCATAAACATGGAGAGAATAGTAACTCACTATTTCTTTCATCTAGGTTAATGTCAACTTTTAAATCTTAATTGAGAGCTTCAATATAAGTATAGTTAAAATCATTTATATGGTTTACATTTCTCATCATTTCTCATTGCTTTCAATTTGGCTATGATTTTAAGCCATCACTTTCAACTACCACTCATCTGTCTGTCATAGTGTGGTGGCTTCCATATTACTGTGATGCTAAAAGTTATGCCACTGGTATTTCAAATACCAGCAGGGTCATCCAAGGTGGACAGGTTTGGTTTTAGTGGAGATTCTGACTAAGACAGACTAGGAAGAAATAGCTGGTAATCAACTTTTAAAATAATTCACCAGTGAAAACCTTATGAAAAGCAGAACATTATTTGATATAGTGCCAGAAGACAAGCCCCTTAGGTTGGAAGGCACTCAAAATATGGCTGAGAAAGACCTACCTTCTCAAAGTATTGACCTTAATGATGTGGGTAGAGTAAAGCTTTTGGGATCTTTATTTGCTGATGTGGCATGTTAAATTGAGAAGAAACAGCCACAAACAGCTATTAATAATTAGAACATAGAAGGTATTAAGTATGAAACTAGGAATCTTGCAAGCTGTCAGAAAACAAAATGGAATGCAGAAAGATCTATCCTAGGTATTAGTGAGTGGAAGATAATCATATAGTTTACTAATGCTGAGAATGACAAATTGAAGAATGATAGCGCTGCATTGTGAAAAAGAACATGTCAAGATCTATCCTAAAGTACCATGCTGTCAGTGACAGAATAATATCCATACACCTATAAGGAAGACCAGTAAATATGACTGTGGTGGTTATGTTTGTGTGTCAACTTGGCTGGGCCTGGTGGAGTGGCTGGGCAGCTAGTGGTAGTTATTCCCCATGATGAGACTGGCAATCAACTCCATGGTGGGATCTACCACAAGCAGCTGAATAGCTGCTTTGGGTATGTGGTCTGCTTCCGGCATATAAGCGGCAGCTTTGGGAATGGTCTCTAACCTATGGCATGCTTGGATCCTGCATGTGAAGTTAAAGGCTACACGGCATGTAGCCGTGTCATTGTTCAGCAGCCTGCCATGTTCTGCTGACCTTGGGACTTAACAATGGCCTGCTGTGTGGTTGGGTAACATCAAGACTACGCCATTTTATTTGTCGACCTTGGCTTGTTAGACTCAGCAGCCAGTAGCTGCCTGCGTGAAGAGATGCCTCTAGCTTCAGTGGGCCGGGAGCAAGAAGCAGAGTTAAATCCCAAGGTTGAGGGGCTTTCACACAGCCCCTAGAGCCTGGCACTTGGAACTCAGATTTCTAGCCTCCCAAACTGTAAGAGAATAAACTCCTGTTTGTTCAAGCCAGCCCATTTGTGGTATATTCTTGTCAGAGTGGCACTAGGTAACCAGAACATGTGACTATTATTCAAATTTATACACCAACTACTAAGGCCAATGATGAAGAAATTGAAGATTTTTACCAACTTTTGCAGTCTGAAATCAAACATGCACTGATATTACTAGTGAACTAGAATGCAAAAGTTGGAAACAAAGACAGATTAGTACTTGGAAAATATGGCCCTGGCTATAGACATGAGAACCCTCAATGAGATGGACTGACGACATGGTGGCTGCAATGATGTACTCAAAGAGCAATGATTTGGAGATCACATGATAGAATTTTGCAAGACAACAACTTATTCTTTGCAAATACTGTTTATCAACAACATAAAGGGCGACTATACACGTGGACCTTGCCAGATGTATTACACAGTAATGCAATCTACTATATTTGTGGAAAGAGATGGAGAAGTGCAATATTGTTCCAGGAGCTGATGGGGAACACAGACAGATCATCAATTGCTCTTAGGAAAGTTAAAGTTGAAACTGAAGAAAATTAAAACAAGCTCATAAGAGCCAAAATATGACCTTGATTATATTCCACCTATATTTAGAAACCATCAAGAATAGATTTGACCACTAATGACGTAAGACCAGATGAGCTGTGAGATGATATCAAGGACATCATACATAAAGAAAGGAAAGGTCATTAAAAAGACAGGGAGAAAAAAAACCCAAAAAAACAAAAAGACCAAAATGGATGTCAGGAGGGACCATGAAATTTGCTCTTGAATTATGATTAGCTGAACTGAATGAAAGGAATTATGAAATAAAACAGCTGAACAGAAGATTTCAAATGGTGGCTAGAGAAGATAAAGTATAATACTGAAATGTGCAAAGACCTTGAGTTAGAAAACCAAAAGGGAAGAACACACTTGGCATCTCTCAAGCTGAAAGAACTGAAGAAAAAATTCAAGCCTCTTGTTACAATACTGAAGGATTTTATGGGCAGAACACTGAACAACACAGGAAGTATCAAGGGAAGATGAAAGAAATACACAGAGATACTGTACCAAAATGAATTAGTTGATATTCCACCATTTCAAGAGGTACCATATAATGAAGAATTGATGAAGGAAGAAGCCCAAGCTGCACAAAAAGTATCGGCAAAAATCAAGGGTAAAGGAACTAATGGAACACAAATTGAGATGTTTCAACAAGCAGATGCAATACTGGAAGCACTCACTCATTTATGCCAAGAAATCTGGAAGATAGCTCCCTGCCCAGCCAATGGAAGAGTGAAGCACTTACTGATGAAGATCAAAGACTACAGTCTTCAGTATGGATTACTCCCTAACCTAAAGAAAACACAAATTCTCACAACTGGACCAATAGCAACATCATGATAAACAGTGAAAAGATTAAAGTTGTCAAGGATTTCATTTTACTTGGATCCACAATCAACACCCATGGAAGCAGTAGTCAAGCAATTCAAATGACATTGCATTGGGCAAAAGACCTCTTTAAAGTGTTAAAGAGCAAAGATAGCACTTTGAGGACTATAGTGTACTATGCCACGGTATTTTCAATTGCTTCATATGCATGAGAAAGCTAGTAAATGAATAAGAAGAATGAAGAATAATCGTTGTATTTGCATTGTGAAGAATATTCAGTGTATCATGGACTGCCAGAGGAACAAACAAATCTGTCTTGGAAGAAGCAGAGCCAGGACACTCCTTAGAAACAAGAATGGCAGAGATTTTATCTCATGTACTTTGGACATGTTACCAACATGGAGCAGTCCCTGGATAAGGACATCGTGCTTGGTAAAGGAGAGAATTGGCAAAAAAGAGGAATACCCTCAATGAGATGGACTGACGACACAGTGGCTGCAACAATGGGCTCAAAGAGCAACAATTATGAGGATGGCAGAGGACTATGGAGCATTTCATTCTGTTATACATAAGGTCACTATAAATTGACCCCAACCTGATAGCACCTAATAACAACAACAAACAACAGTATCACTCCCAACGTCCCGGCTGTATAGATGGCAGCTTAAGGATTACTTGTAAAATAGTTGAAATTTTGAAGGTCTTTTCCAGAATATACTTCTTGTGAAAGTTATTCTCTATAAACATAAAATATATTTATCATTTAGGCAAAGTTATACCAAAGGAAGTAATGAAGTATATTACTCACTGGTTTTGGGGTATTCTCTGCTTCTTCAAATAAAACACAACACTACCTTATAATCATGTAACTTTCCAAAAGTTATTTTGTGGATACAGTTCAAGTTAGCCTCATTGTCAAACATGCTTGTAACCTTTTAGGCAGAGATGTGTTCCTGTACTCCAGTGACTACCAGCCCTGGGCAGATGGTACGAAAGTGGCCATAATGACCCAAATATGAAGGATTGGGTACACCAATCTTCTGAAGTACCCGAGAAAACTGGGAAGCAAAGAGGGAGTGCCTTCACTAGTCCAGCATAATCAGAAGACAAAATATTCCTGGGACTGTTCACCCTCCACCTTGTCTTCAACCTTGAAAAGAACCTGAAACTTGTTAACTACCTCATCAAGTGAACATTAATGTTTATTGAGGTCTTCTAACTAATCATGCATTCCTTGCATTCTTTCAGAAAGATAGCACTTCATCCATAGGAGAATTCACTACCTGAAAAGTCTCATGAATATTACAGAATGTACTGAAATGTGTTAAAGTGGTCACATTGAGAATAAAGGATTTGTACAAAAAGAAAAATAATTTCAATTTCTTTTCAACCAGACACTCACTGATTCAGCTATGCGTGCCACTGCAGAGACTGTTAATCCAAACAGATCTTCTCCTTTTAAGTATGCTGGGAAGAGCTGGAGCATTTCAGACTTTTTTCTCACACATGCCACAGGTTCCAAAATTTTATCCCAAACACCTACATATGGACAAAAAATATTTTTGACTTCTTGCTCTTAGCTAAGCAGTGAGAAAAACAATATGCATCAGAGAAAAATGAAGACTCACTCACAAAGACTTATCAGTTTTCAAATGAAATGTCTTAGGTAGTAATCAAAGAAACCTGGTGAGGAAAGCTTATTAAATGGCAGCAATTTATTTTATAGACTACAAATGTTGGGGAAAGAATATGTTATATCAAAGAATTAAACAGTAATGTTAGATTTTAAAATGATTATTGCAATCAATAATATCTATAGAGATGTCCATTTCCCCTAGATTTAAATTAACATTTGAAACTGCTGTTTTCTTTAGACTGATCTTTGAGCATTTTCACAAATTTTTTTGAAGAACTGCTAAACTTTATATAACCAGTTTTTTAGGAGTTTCTACCTTCTCTGTAATTAATAAAAATGGTTACTCAGGCATAACTCTGGAGATAAAAAGTAAGTATAACAATAAAATATGCTTCACATGTGGTTTCTTCCTTCTAGAAACTTACATTAAGAAGGGCCTCATGGTATATAATGGGTGAGCTAGATCTACAAATCACTCTCATTTCTTTTAAAAATTCTATCTTGGAATATACTTCGATATGACTGAATTAGAACAAGTCTAGACAATGTTCATAAAACTATACAACAAGATGCAATAATTCAAAAAAGTTTAGATTTGTATTTATAAATGAGAAATCCACACCTGTTATTATAAAATGAACATGAGAACAAATCTGGGAATATGGACAGAGAATATTTATTAGCTTAATGTCAGTGTGACCAGCTCTGTAGAGCACATAGTAGCTGTTCTTACCTTTGGGTGATGTGTCACTTAAGACCAAGTCTTCATGGCCTTGCTCCACAATCCTGATCACAAACACTGGATGCCCATCTTTCTCCTCAATGGAACAGAGATAGCGACAGCGCCGGTTGGCATAGCGAGTGCTCCAGTACAATCGGCTGGCTTCATAACCCACAGGATAGAGTGCTTTAGGAGAATGGAATGCTTGCATTTGCTGTGGGAGCAGCTGGCCAATGGTGTGGAAGATGAGGCTTCCAACACGAAAGGTATGGTCACGCTCTCCTCGCTGCACAATGCTAGCAATCTGCCGTACTTCATCACGTTGAACATAAACCCGCCTGAAGACTGCAAAGTAACTTAATTCTTGCTCATGAATTCCCTTTGGTTTGTGCATGGGACAAAGCATTGTTTTGTCCTTAAAAAACATGCATTGTGCTTTAATGGCGCAAGTAAAGTGGTAAATGTTGGTGCATCGAAATCTGTGACACCCGCTGGTGGCACCCATTTTATGACAGAAGATACATTTCATTTGCAGGCCTCTCCTCAGTGCTAGCTCCACATTGATTAAGGCACCAGCCTGAGTCTCATAGACCTCTGTGGACCACAGAGCACAATTCAAGTGGACCCACAGATCTAAGTCAAGGTTGAGCAGCCTTGCTGGTCCATCCGTCAATCCATCACCTTCTTCATGACAAAAGCAACACTTCCTATAGTCCTTGGGCACAGGATCTGGTTTAAGGGAAGTGCCCAATTTCTTCAGAAATTCATCAATTTCATCCTCACCAGGTGGTTTGAATGTTCCCTTGGGGATGACAATATGAATGCTCCATTTCTTCCACTTCATTCCTCTCCATTTTTTATTTAAAGGCCTATAGTCATCAAACCCACCAGGCACAGTTCTTAGCCGGGGCTTCAACTTGACAGTTACCTTAAGTTCATCTGGCTTTGCCTCTACTTTGGATGCTTCAAAAGCACGAGGGAAAGTAATGGGAGGTGATGCAGGAGAAGACACTCTTTCCTGAAGTTGTGGGAGACAATGCACATCTAAAGTGGAGATGTTGTTACTGTACTGATGGAATACTTTGGACGACCCATCTTTTATAGGTGACTGTGGCAATGAAGGAATGGATTCCTAGGTATTAAAAAGAAACCACACACAAAAAAAGAGTAATTCATAAGCTTTAAAAGCAATTCTTGTCAAAGCAAAAAACAAAGCAATCCTAAGGATTTAACAGGGAGTATGACAGGAGCTCTGGTAGCGTAGTGCCTAAGGCACTTGACTGCTAACCAGAACGCTGGTGGTTCAAATCCACCAGCCACTTCTCAGAAGGAAGGTTGGGCAATCTACTTCTGTAGTGATACGGCCTCGGAAACCCAAGGAGGGGTCGCTATGAGTCAGGTCCAACTCGATGGCAAATAACAACAACATGACTTACGGGAAAAGGTCAGTGAATGAGTGATGAAGTTTATACACAGAAGTCAATGCTAGTATTTCAGATCTTTAGGTATGAGTACTCATTGGCTAAAGTAGGACAACTGTGGGTAGACCCTTCCCAAGCCTTTTCTACAAAACTATAACCCTAGAGAATATTCTGCTGTTAAACCTTCCTCAATCTAACTATAGGAAAGTCAGAAAAATCAGTGCTGTCAGAGGAGCTAGGTATCTGAATCTGTACAATGGAAGAGTGTTTTTGTTAAACCAAATTTAGAATTTCACAACAAAAACTCCTATGAGCCAATTGTCACTCTCTTAAGATTCCTATCTTTCAAACTTGGTTCAATCAACTGTCATATATATGAAGGAAGGAGGAGTCCTCTGTTTGCAAACAAACCATGTTTAAGGTTCCTCAGCTCCTGAAAAAGTTGTGCTATGAGAGAAGCCCCAGCTGTTTCTCTTTAGGTACAGAATTTAATGTTTTCAATTCTGAATTTTTAAACTGTTAATTTATATCTGTCACTCTTGTCAAATAAGTTAAGCTCATTTAGTTTCAAATACCAGCATTTTTTACATTTTTTTTTACTGTGATTTGGGTGAAGATTTACAGAGCAAATTCACTTTCTGTACAGCAGTTCACATATACTTTGTCTTATGTCATTGACCACAGTTTACCACAATGCTCCCCTCCCACTTCCTCTCCATAGTTACCTCTTCCCAGTGTCTATCCCTCCATACACTCCTGCCCCCCTGAGCTGTCTCCCTGTGCATAAGCAGCCCTTCTTTCTCCCATGATTGTTCTCTCCAAGGAGTGTATCCACTTGAGGTAAATGATCAACTCATATGCCTGT